GGATATTTCATAGTCTCTTACTGTATTTATAAGAACTGGCCCAAAGGGTAGAATTGACTTCTTTATATTTAGAGATACATTCTAGATGTTAAGAATATTGAACTACCAGTCCTAACACAGGCAATAGCATCTGATCCCATATTATTTATCAAGCAAACACATATTCAGCTAATCCACATCCTTTATTATATTCATGTATATGTCAAAAAACATAGGTACTATTAAAATAGTTTCTGAAATACTTGTCCTTGAAGACAATGTAAACTGTTTTGAAAACATCCACATCAGAGAGAAGGAAGGTATCCATTTCAGTCAAGCATTTTTTACAAGTATGTTTATATATATTGTGCAAGTCACTCTCAAGATGGAAATAAAATATTCCCTGCTTTGAGAAACTTACAATCCTAACTGAAAGGAACGAACAGCCACATGAACTTAAAAGCCCATTTAGTCTACCCTCCTTGACAGCAACCTTTTATTTTTAAAGCTTTACAAAACACACAAATGAAAATATCTGTTATATCTAATTTAATCCCCTAAACCAATTACCTCCTCTTTTTCTAAGAGGAAATTAAAAGCAAGTGGTTCTTGGAAGGTAAATGTCTGCCTGAGAAAGATATCCTCTGCTATTTGGGGGGAGTGACTTGGCACCAGGGTCTAGATGGGTGCCCTCTGAGATCTATTCTTCCAGCCAGCCCCCCTGGATTCTCCTCATACTGCTCTAGTCCACTCTGCCTTCCCACCGCCAGAACCCAAGGAACAAGTTCCAGTTTATCATCTAGCACCTAGTCAGACTCGCCTAGCAACTCAGCTGACTGAAGATGAACAAATTAGGATAGCTCAAAGAATATGCCTTATACAGCATCTGCCTAAAGGAGTTTATGACCCTGGAAGAGATGGATCAGAAAAAAAGATCTGGGAGTGTGTGAGCTGCATGATGGACTTTGTTTATGGGGACTCGATTAGATTTCTGCCATGCATGCACATTTATCACCTGGACTGAATAGACGACTGGCTGATGAGATCCTTCACGTGCCCCTTTTGCATGGAGCTAGTTGATGCAGCACTGCTTTCATCTTATGAGACTAATTGAGCCAGGGTTTCTCATCTGACTTCAAGTGAACCATCATTTTTGGTGGTTTTGATCTTTTGTCACTGAGCCCAAAGAGCCAGGAATTAGGAATTAACATCATGCATAAAAGTTTCCTTAAAGTTTCCTGAATGGCTGCAGATGTTGGGGAAAAGTACATCCTATTTTAGAAACTCAGGGGGAAAAAATAGGAAAAAAAGCCTTCACCCAGTGTTTAAAATTATGTAACTGTATTTAGATCTTGTTATTGCTCCAGTATATAGGAATTGTGTAAAGTGTTACAGCAGCTGTATATGTTTAAATTATGTGTGTTGAAGATTAGGAAAAAGATAACAGTTGTTTTTCCTAAATGAAATAACTTTCTTCTTCCCTCCACCCAAGTTTTTTTCTGAAGTTGCTGGCATTTAGGTCAAGGTTTTATTAAAAGCTACATTTTATAACACTGGCACACAAAAAAAGTAGTTTTAAGCTTGTTTGGACAGTTCTTTTTTTCCATTGGAAATGGAATTCATTGCCTTAGGTCTTTTTGAATAGTGTATTATTTTCGTTGGGGCTGGCTCTATGCTTAAAAAACAGTTTTTTTTATAAAGTGTTATAAGTGCTATATCTGTTTACAGTTAGGAAATGCAGAATTCAAAGTGATCTCCCAGCTTGTAAGCAAATTGAGATGCACTATCCCTTTCTAAAAAAAAAAAAGGGTTAATGTGTCAAGAAGCCAACTCTAGTAAAGTGGGGTTTAAGATTACTCTTTCCTATGTGTTTTATCTAATTATTTTGGTTAGTATGGTGATAACTGAAAGTCAAGGTAAATTTTAAGATTTCTGATTTATTGAGCCTGAATTACTCCACAATACTTATGTAGAAGTGAAAGTGGCACCTTGGTGAAACTGAGAAGTTTCTCAGCGTTAACAATTTTGATTTAATCTTTCTTGTGACCTCCTCCTGTTGTCTGGAACCACAGCAAAAGGATACTGAATCTCTTATTACTGTAGTGCTGAGGTTACTGAAGGTATACAAAACACATCTCGGTCTCTGTTTCTTGGAAAGGCCTGCTAGCTGACTGATAAGTCTAGTATAAGCAAGGAGGATTAAGATATATGTATTTCATGTTTTGCACACAAATGCAGAATTTGTATAATCACATGACTTCATAATTGTGATCTCAAAAGAAGGAATTTCTCCTTTATTTTTTCTTGCAGTTAATGTAAGAACACTGAATCTCTAAGCTTCTTAAGTGCTAGAGGAAGAGATGGTTAAGATGTAGTTGTAATGTTTATCCATTTAGCATGTGTTTATTTTTCCTTTTGTAGTCAAAGGTGACTTATTTGCTCAGCTCAGTGGTATTACAGCTAAAGAAATCACTCATTAGCAAAAGGAGAAGCAGTTTCAACCTAACAAATCAGAAATGTTTCTTATTTTATATTGAGTTGAATATTTGATTCTAACACTTTTCTACATACAAAACACAAGTATCTTGAAGGTTGTTCATAATTGCATTATAGAGGAATTTAGGATGTCATAAGTACTTCTTAAAGATTTGGCATTTGACTGTAGTATCCATATGTTGGTTAATTTTCTTATGAGCCCCATAATGGAAAGACTTAAAGATGAATTTGAGAGAAAAAAATGAAAGGAATTAGATTGTCAGGTTCTATTAAATTGTTATATGTACCTTGCTTAATTTTTGTTCATTAATTTATATCCACTCAATTACATAAAGCAAATTTGGAGGAAACACCTGAAGCTGTGCAATATTTTTAGTGATATTATTGTTTTTATCCTTCTGTTTTCTACTTAAATATGTCTGTGTTATCAAGTATTATAGTCAGACTTTCTTTTTTTCTAGATCGTTAAATTTGGTAAATGAACTTTTTAAAAAAACATTTTCTATGTTGCTGTTAGTCTTTCTTTACACAAGGCTTCTTTCACAGAAGTTTGGTAGTAATATTGAAAGAACCAGTATTGAGCTGAATGCTTTTTTTTAGGTACTCTGTATTCTCTGATTTTGATCTTCACATAACATGTTAAGAACCATCAATTTTGGCTTTTACTAAGTTAAATAAAGTTATAATACAATTAAAAAAAAAAAAAGCAAGTGGTTCCCATGTTCTTCAAAAAGTGTTTTGGTAATTACAGAGCAATCAAGCTATACTTACCTTTTACACAAAAGAAAAAACTATAGTCTTTGCATAAACAGCCTGGTATCCCCAAAACAGAAGTTAAGATCGATTGGTTAAAATCAAAGTAAGATGACCAAGAAGGTAATGAAAAGATCCTCTGTGCTTGAATGAATGAAATCTGTCATTTCTGTATAATGGTACTAGATGTAATATTTTCTAATTAACTGCCTTTACTCACAAAGCATCTGTTTTCTATGTAGTTTTTACTCAATGAAAAATGGGCTCATCAGCCAACTCCCTGTTCCAATCCTCTTTGGGATTAACTGGCATTCTGATTTACAGATAATCTCCTGTGTATTAAATAATATGTCTCTCCTCTAGAGATAAATCACCTTCTAGCATGTTGATAAATATTACGTTTCTAGTTTTATAAAGCAAAGCATTAAAATCTAAAATGTACTAAACCAAAGTACAATCGCCTCTGTTAAACCCCTTCTGAGTGTCTAGCTGGGGTGACATTTATGCTGCTCACCACTTAAAAATGCAACACAGGCTGTAAAAATAATGGTAGATCCACTTGCTGTTATTCCAAAACCAATAATGATAACAAGACTTCAATGCAGAAATGGGAGAAAAAAGCAGTTTAATATCCTCAACATTAATGAAGAATACTGATATCACCTACCAGATCACAAACATGCAAATAACTCTGCTACCATGTTTTTAAAAAATGTTTTAAAAACAAAAAATTTAAGTTAAATAATTTTAATTCATAGTGTGAAATTTTTGCTTTAACTTTTGGGAACATATATGCTAAAGTTAGTGTTTTTGAGTAAAGAAAAATTTCTTGCACTACCAAGACACAACTTTTAATCTAACAAACAGAGAAGGCTCTGTCACAGTGATTATTTTACTTTCACTAGTACCACTTTGGCAGCTGCTTTTATTGGAATATATTAACAATCCCCAAACGTATTTTGCTTGGCAACTTCCTTTAAGAAACAAAACTGTTTAGAAACTGTTTTGTATAAAAGACAAATTGAGCCTTCTACCTTTTAGGAACATTTTAAAAATCAGTTATCTCCTTCCTGTTATTCCAAGACCCCCACATTTATTTCACTGTAAGCATTATACTTAGCTTTATATATGCAAAATTCACAAAAACAATCACAAAGTTAAGCATTTTCCTATAAATTAGAAGTGAGTAAATTGTATGTAACAAAATATGAAATTACAAAATCAGTTATTTTACGTTTATTTACTAAATTGGCAAAAACCGAAAATGTTGATAAAAAATGAAGACAAATGAAGAGTAGGCAAGAGAAATGAAACTAATTATTAAACAGAAAAAAAGTCACATTAGTTAGAACTACATATAAAAAAATAAAAAACTTGGCCAGAGTTAACAGAAATATAAAAACACTGGGCGGATAGCAATTCCAAGTAATTTCCCAAGTCTAATATCTTAATATCTGTAGTATCTTAAAAACTCACAAAATCTACACTTTGCTTTTAGTTCCCTTAGAACCAGATGGTAATAAGCTAGAGGCTCATGCATAATCATCACGCAACTTGTGCATGGTAAACGAGAAAGAATGCTGCTTTCGTGAAGCAAACTGCATTTGTTTGATTCTTGGTACAAGTTAATAGCGAAGTTTTAAAGGATTCTAAAGACCCTTGCTTATGCTGGCTTATATGCACCAGTCCAAAGGCAGAATTTAATATTCTGAAACGCTGTAAGTGGATTCTAAAAAGAGCTTAGTAAAATTGCTTTAAAGGGTTTACTTTACTTTTAAAAGCATCTGTTGCTCCAGGTGCATGGTTTTTGTCTGGATGAAACTTCAAAGCAAGCTTTCTATAAGCTTTTTTCAAATCTTCATCACCAGCATCTTTGGTAACTCCAAGTACTTCATAGTAATTTTTACATTTGTTTATGCTGTGAACAAGAGAGTGTGTTACAATGAAAATTTCAAGGAAGAAGTTCATGTAATAGCTTTAAAGTGTTATTTATTAGAATAGTATAAAGAACTGTCCATGGGCTGTTTCCTCAATATCAAATGATAGCTTATCCCATTAAGGGTCACTGCTTCATTCTGTTTTTCTACCACAGACCACTCCTCCAACCTCTTCCCGGTCTAAGAAGAGCTGACCATGAGAATGTCTTTGGTGCAGTTTATCACAACTACAGAGAAGTAAAGTCAAGTCCATAACAACTGTGGATGAAGAACAGAGCACAGAACTGTAACTAAAATGGGGATAGGAACAACTTTTAAGAGCATAAAGAAATTCAATAATCCTCACACGTATGTTGCAGCTAAAGAATAGTATGCATTACATTCAAAGAGTTATGTTGTCCCAGAATGTATACCTAACCAAATACCAAAGTAACAGTTTAGTGCATGTAAAACAATTACAGTACACTATGGTTTAAATGTCAAGGCAAGTCAATTCCGCTCAGCCATGCTAAAAAGAATTCATCGGTGAAAGATAAAATCTCATGATAAAATATATCATGGGACTCAAAAAGTGTGTTACCCCCATTTTCACTGTAATGAGCATAGTCTTAAAGATTACAGTAAGTCCTCACTTGATGTCTTTGTTAGGTTGTATGACTTTAAGCAAAACAATGTATAATGAAACCAATTTTACCATAGGCTAATTGACATAAAGGAGTTAAGTTCCTACAGCATCTCATCAATGCTATAACGAAATGTTAAATGAATCATCATTATTCAAGGACCTACTGTACTTACATAGTTTATAACCCTAAAGACATAACTGATTTAAACCCGGAGTCTCTAAAGTATATTAGGAAAAGAAATACTCTAAATAGAACAGATAACATTAATACTTTTGGATCCCAACATTCTCCTACAACCTAATAATTTTTCTTCACTAAAATCAAGGTATATTTTACACACTTTTGCGGCATACTTTATAACTTCAGATGTGTTCCATGTGTGAGTGAGTGGCTTGATGACAGAAGTAGTAACAGGTAAAAGGATCTGAGGCATAACTGTTCACTGGCAGCTAAAGTATTTCAAACACTGACTCAAAGTTTTCAAAGAAAAGACAGAGGACTGATCTTTTTAAACTACTGAATATATTAATCATCACACTGCTTGGTACATGATAGGTTCTCAGTAAATATTTCTGGAAAAAATGAACCTAAAGCTCTTCTGTTATAATGAAAGCATTCATCTTTTGGTATATGAAATAGGGAAGAGAAAAAAAAGACAACATTAAATAAGGTTATAGAAATTTTTCCACATCACATCCACAAAAATCTGTTACAGTTTTCTTTATAGGAATAATAATTAATTGGATTTTTCTACTTTAGTTACTTAATAAATATTAACACAAGTCAATTTTATTTCATGAATATGACATTTATTTGGTGAATAATATTTACTGACTACCAACTATGTCCCAGATATAGTGTTCAGGGACTTGAGATATACTAGTGAACAAAACAGAGAACGATCCTGCCATGGTAGAGACTCACTCCCCTAAATATGATTAGAAACTATGTAACAGAAAAAAAGGGAAGGGGACATTTACAGAACACCTACTGGGTGTCAGGCACAGGTCCACAAGCCCATGTCCAGGTTGTAATACCCATTAAGCTCTGAAAAATGTTAAGTTATTCTATAACTAATCTGACTGCAAAAACCTGACTTGAACTCTCAGAGGTAAAATTTGACCTGAACTAATGTGAAATCACCACAGTCTTCTTATATGCCATTTAAGTATGAATAGTTGTATGCTTTGTTGCAGAAATGTTACCACTAGGGTCCGAGCTGCTTACCAGTTATGTAATGTATAATGTATGCTCCTTATTACCTTTCCAAAATACGAAGTGTTCAAATTACAAACTACATCTGGTCCACAAACTTTTCACATAGAGAATTGTAGGATCTTATTATGCTGATTATTTTACGCAAATGATCTCATTTACTCCTCATTAGGTAGATATTATTCCTGTTTAACCAATGAGGAAATCAAGGCTTTGAGGGGTTAATTGCCAAAAGTCATATAACCAAGTATAAATGGGAACCAGGACTTATTTCCTCAACAAAAATTTATTGAACATCTATTTTCTGCTAAATACTGTTTCAGATGCTATAGTGGGGATTAAAACTGTCCCAAAACCCCTGCTCACATTAAATTTACATTTGGGACAGGGCCAAGCAATGAACAAATATATAAGTAAAATATAAAGTACATCATATGGTGATAAATATTTAGAGAAAAATAAAGAGGCAAAGGGGAATGGGGAACGGAAGGGGAGTCCCACCTGCTATGGTGATTAGGAAAGACCTCACAAGTAAGCATGCAAACCTCAGTTTGTATGACTTGAAAATCCTGTCAAGAACCAGAATAAAGAAGAAAAGGAGCCTCCTCAGAGTAACCATCTCCTTCCTTGCAATTTGCTTCTCCAATCAGTATTTAAACACACTTTCTTCCCTCTTAGATATTTTCAAATGTTGGTTTTGGTGCCCAGAACATGCATTCTCTGCCTCCCTTCTTGCTTAGTTTCCACCTCTTCTTCAAACCTCAGGTTAGCTCTTTCTCTTCTCAAAACTCAAATTCCTCAACACTAGGTTCAGTGACCCTCTTATAGCCTCTCAAAGCTCTCTGAACTTAGACCTATCCCAGCAATTACCACACTGTACTGCAGCTATCTATTTACTTGTCTGACTATTTCTAGACTCGAGGCCCCTTAAAGGCAGGCACTGTGTTTTGTTCAGCATACGTGTTGAATGGATAGATGGACAGATGCATGACTGATTCAATTTGAGGGCAGAAATGGTGAGAATCCAAGTCATTTTTAGACCAAAGGTGATAAGTACTATAATGAAAATGTAGTTGGCATCAGAACTCAATTTGGAATAGAGAATAGACTATGAAACAAGGAATAGAGCTAAAAATATGACTCACACTACCAGAATGCAGAAAACAAAAGGCAGTAAATCAAACACTGTACTATCCTAAAGTCATTACTATTTGGTTCTAATGCACAAGCTGTTTAATTATGTACCAGATTAACCCTCTAAATTTGTTTTGTTGATCATTTCTGAGCACAAAAGGCTAGGCAATAGAAAAAGGCAGCCCAGGAAAGGGTTGCTGGTAGTGTAGGAAAATCAGGTTGGAATTCACAGTCCTCTAGAAACTGGTCATAAAGATAAAAGAATTACCATGATAAGAAAAAAAAGAAAAACAATTATTTCACTCCTACCTGTAACTAGCTCTGCCATAGCTTCCCTGTACTAAATTTTTTATCATATTTTAGAGGCGATATCTTTGAGAAACCAGCAGAGAAGTATGAAGTCCACACCACCAATGGAAAGCTGAAGGCTACATATTTCAAGTAATACCCCAAATATACTCATTTACCTGATTTTTCATACCGGAATGAGAAAACACCATTCATATATTTAATTCATATTATTTGTTCATCATGCTCCTCCTCACCAACTAAAACGCATTTGTCACACTTTTTACAGTTTGCTCCTCATTGAAAGATTTAAATATTTTTCTCCATCCTCACCAAAGAATTTTAAAAAGAAAGAAGGAAAGAAAGCAAAAAGAAAATAAATTAAAAAGAGGTAACCCATTACCTACCCTGGAAGGAAATACAAAGGCAGAAAGATCTGTCTGGGAGCTCAACATTGAGGAAGTAGGTCTAGTTCAGCCTTCACATCTTCCTTTATGTGCATAAAAGCATAGTGGGCAGGGGAGGTCTTCTTTCAATTCTTTTTTTATATGATATAGCTGATTATTTAAATAGATTCCATGTTTAATTGGTGTTTAAGGAAACACGTGTTTATTCTTGGAGGCAAAGGATTATTTCTTTTTTAAGTTTAGCAAAATAATTTCACTTAAAGAACTATAATTTAAATCAAATCCTAATAAAATCCCCATAATTCAAATGACTTAATAGCTGTACAAAAGTTTTCTGAATTGATAACTATAATGATCTCACACTGATCTTGTAAATTTTAAAATAAAAGATGGGCTTTTAAAAAATGAGATTAAAAGCCTTTTAAATTAGATCCATGACACCTTTTCCTCAATAATTTTTCAATATATTTCAACTTAAAGAAAACAAAGTGCTTAGTTTCACAGAATGTTACTTTTACAAAGTTACACTCTTTTTCTTCTGTCTTACTGTAAGCTAGCTCTTACTTATGCAATGGATAAAGCATTATTGCATGGCTTCTCTCATTGAGCCAAATTGTCACTGAGCAACTTGTCTGCATAATCGTGCTAACCAACAAGATAACATGGCTTTCTTCAGAAAAATCCCGTGTATAAGTAAAACAAAAACAAGAACATACAACATGTAAGTATTTGCTAGTGATCTGTTACCTCACTAAAGTAACACTTAGGAAGGCTAATATAATGAATAAGTGTTCCATGATTGAGCTAACCAACTCTTTAAAGGTGTTAGCTGAAGTATTTTGAATAAGTTAGGGATTCTATTAAAGAATGTTTCAATCATATTTAGTCCACAAAGGGAAAAAAACTAAATTTATTTAATAAAAAAGGTATAATAAAATTATCGACCAGAGAAACAATCTCTAACGTAGGTATACTACTAAGCTAATACTTCTACCAGATAAGAATTCATGGTCTCAAACATAGCTGGCTCCTGAATGCTAACCAGCAATCTTTCCATTCCCTTTGCTTTTCCACTCTGCAAATATTTCATACTTTTACCACTCTTCCTCAAGCCTTCAATCGCATCTCTTCTCTTTTAACACTCAAAGGATAACCTCATCTTCAATTTCACAGAGAATATCGAAGGCAACTGACAGAAACTCCCTTAATATTTTATGTTTCCATCTGGCCAACTCTGACCATATACAAAGTGTATCTACACCCACCATCACCTTTCCTTCTTTCATTCTTAAGATGTCCCCTAAACACTAAAAGAGTTAGCAAAACAAAGCATTGCTCTCCCAACCTCATTTCTGCCACACCTTGAGCTACTCCTCTCTTCCTTTCAAGGCTAGGGTAGAGGAAATCTTAAACAAAAGGTTTTTATAAAACACCAGATTTAGAATATTCCTATTCTCCAAAACTTTCAGCTATGTGTGTGTGTGTGTGTGTGTGTGTGTATTTTTAAGATATGTCTTTATTAATTTCAGAGAGAGAAAGGAAAAGGGGGAGAGAGAGAGAGATTGAAACATCAATGATGAGAGTCACTGACTGGCTGCCTCCTGCACGCTCCCCACTGGGGATCAAGCCCACAACCCAGGCATGTGCCCTGACTGGGAATCGAACCACAATCTCCTGGATCATGGGTTGATGCTCAACCACTGAGCCAAAACAGTTGGGTTCAACTATATTTTTAAATGATATTTTCAAATATATAGGTATTCTACAGTCTTTCTTTTAAAAAAAGTCACAAATGATTCTAAATAAAAATCACATGTATACAATTAACTTTATTTAGGTCTTTTATTGAGAACATGTTCTCCCCAAAAAAGTAATTTTTACAGGAAAATACTATTTTTTTTTCAAATAGATGTGGTTTCCTGAAGAAAAGAGATGCATTTCACTACAGTTTAGTTAAAGCTTTTTTCTTAAAAGAAATTCAAAAGCAAGTCTCACTTATATTTACTTATCTCACTTATTCAGACATCTCTCACATAATACTATAGTTATAAAAGTGGTTAGCAACATTACTTATATTCTTAAAGTGCTTCACTACCATTCATGCTAATCAAATACCCTTTACCATGGCTTTACCATGATTAGTGATTCTTTTAAATCAAGCTTTAGCATCTAACTATATAGGGAAGAAAGCAAAATATATAAGTAATTGCTATTTTATTTAAATTATTTTAATTTCAAAATATGGTGAGTAAAAAAGAATGAACTAAAAAGCAGCAATGGAGAAAAAAGGGTGAGAAAAGAAATAACAGTGAAAGAAAGGACAAAAAAGAGAAAGACTAATTTGCCTACTCTTTACTTGAGCTAGTTCACTGTATTATAATTCACTCGGTGTGAATTATCCGATTAATCACTGTTCAGAGTCCTTCATCCTTACACTTTAGTTTCCCTAGAGAGCAACATTAATACAACACCAATACAGCTTCCTAAAGTTGTAGCAGGAAACAAAACAGTATTTTCTCTAGTGTTTCATACTCAGAGGTTCATTTGATTTCCAGAAAATTTTTTCTTAATTATAAAATTAGTAAAGTCAAATCTCTAAAACCCAGTTCCTAATTTTTCAACTCTGTCTAATTCTTCTGCTTTAAGTGGAAGTGTATCATGAGGTAAAACTAAAACAATAAGAGAATAGTCTGTAAAAAAAAAAAAAAAAAAAAAAATTTAGGGGGTTGGGGG